CAAGCTTTTGGGACCTTCATTCGCTGATGTGGCACAATTCAAAATGAGAAGAAACAGCTACAAACATTCATTAATAACTGGAACATGGAATGTACGAAGTATGAATCTAGGAACATTGGAAGCTGTCAAAAATTAAATAGAACGCATAAAGATCCATGTCCTAGGCATTAGTGAGCTGAAATGGACTGGTATTGGCCATTCTGAATCAGACAATCATATGGTCTACTATACCGGGAATGACAAATTGAAGAGGAATGGCGTCGCATTCCTCATCAAAAAGAACATTTCAAGATCTATCCTGAAGAACAATGCTGTCAAAGACAGGATAATATCCATATGCCTACAAAGAAGACCAGTTAATACAGTTATTATTCAAATTCACACACTAACCACTAAGGCCAAAGATGAAGACACTGAAGATTTTTACCAACTTCTGCAGTCTGAAAATTGATCAAAGATACAATCAAGATGCATCGATAATTACTGGTGATTGGAATGGAAAAGTTGGAAACAAAGAAAAAGGATCAGAAGTTGGAAAATATATGGCCTTGGTGACAGAAACGATGCCAGAGACCGCATGATAGAATTTTGCAAGACCAACGACTTCTTCATTACAAACACCTTTTGTCAACAACATAAATGGTGACTATACACACGGACCTCACCAGATGGAATACACAGGAATCAAATAAACTACATCTGTGGAAAGAGATGATGGAGAAGCTCAATATCATCAGTCAGAACAAGGCCAGGGGCCGACTGTGGAACAGACCATGAATTACTCATATGCAAATTTAAGCTGAACCTGAAGAAAATTCCTTCAGATTGCCCAATAGGCAGACGCCAGCTGCCACGAGCTTCTCAGTCTTCCTGTAGGTTGGTTGTAACGACTCACAGAACTCACGGAGAATACACTACACTTATGGCTACACATCTATTACAATCAAAAAGGATACAAACGAAGAGAAGCATAGGCTGAGTTCTGGGAGGGGTCCCAGCACAGAGCTTCCCTGGTCCAAAGATGAATGCACTACCTCTGCTGGGCATGCTCACAAACCAGGAAGCTCCTGTGAGCCTCAGGGTTTAAGCCTCTTACTGGCCTCACCCATGGTCATGATAGATTACATCATGCCTCTTGAGGCTTAGTCAGCATCAGGCCCCCACGTGGTCCCTCTTGGTCTGGTCAGTCCCTAGTCTTAACTTTCAGGTGTTCGTCTGGTTCAAAATAACTGAGAGAAAAGGGCAAACTGCTTTCTGTAGGGAGATTCCACACCTCACACAAGGTCAAGCTGTTTCTCATAAATCTACCTAGCTAACCATGGCTGACTGAACAGAAATTATAGTACTATAAAAAGAACATACCCACATCCTCAAAAGGAACAATTATTTTTCATTTTCTGAACCACAAGATCACTTAAGACTCTTTTAAGCTCTAAAAGACAAATTTTTAAAACTCGGATAATTTGCCTTATTGTGATAACAGCCAGGAGATTTAATAAGCATTCTAAATAATCAATTACACAGGTTTTTAAACAGCTTCCAAAATGCACCTCATCCTGTAATTGGAGAACAGTAAACCTCAAATGCATTAAAAATGACAAGGTTAACTCCATCAGAAGAAAAAATGTTACCTATGTTTCCTTACCGCAAAAGTGATGAGAGATAAAAACAATGGTACAAGCATTTACTTCCCCCATTTAATCTTGAACAATTAAGTCTGACAAAGTTCTAACTAAAAAACAACTTTTTATGGCACTTTCCAGAAATTGTTCATAAAAATATAAATTCAAACTTAACTATGATGAATACAAAGTATCCTTCCCTATCGATGACATGGAAACACATTTTAATATATACAAACTCTATGATGTCCTTTATGTAAAATTTAAAAACGAACAAAACTATGGTATTAGAGGATACTGTTTGCCTTGGGGAGAAGGAATGGAGCAATGACTGACAGAAAGCAGGACACGTGTGGCAATAATGTGTATTTCCTGACCTGGATGTCGGCTCCTTTTATAATAAATCATCAAGTGATACACACATGATTTTTACACTTTTCCATATGTATATCTCAATAAAAAGTGTTATTAGTGAGCTTGGTGGTAAGTAATAATACCAGTTAAACACAGAGATATTAAGCAAAGTAAACTTAAAAATCTTCAAAGAGCAGGCAATTTTTAAAAGCTTTATATAAAAATTTTAAATGATAAAATAATCTATATCTAAACTAAAAATATAGAGATTGAGTATATGGCAGAGCAGAATCTGGGAGAGATGCAACATTCCTCCTCTTAACTGGGGAGGGGTGGTTTAAATGCAAAAACTGGTTTACTCTTGACTTTGACATTTGGGAACAAAAAAAAAGTTTTAAGAAAGCTTTGAAAAACTTAAAGATACGCATTAATAAAACGAAAACATATTACCTTTCAAAGCTTTCAACACCTATGTTTTTTTTTTAAAAAAAGGTAGTAAAAGGAACATCCCCAGGAGCCCTGGTGGCATAGCAGTTAAGAGTTTGGCTGCTAACCAAAAGGTCAGCAGTTCAAATCCACCAGCCCCTACTCCTTGGAAACTCTACGTGGCAGTTCTACTCTGTCCTATAGGGTCACCAAAAGGAACATAGGAAGCATAAAAATACTTCTTCTTCATCTATAAATTCAATATGCAATTCTATAAAAATCCCAAAAGAACTTTTAGCAGAATTGACAACTGATTCTAAATATAGATAAGAATGTGAAAAATCAGCAAGGAAAACTGAACAGAACATTCTACCAGATACCAACCCATAGAGCTGGAGTAATTTAAATAATACTGACGAATGAATAGCAAAAAATCAAACAGAAAAAAAAGACTCAAGTATGCATGGGGATTTATTAGCATACTTAGTACATGATAAAATGTGGCAAAACTATAACATTTGAGGAATCTCAGTGAATGCAATAATTCTTTGTACTATTCTTATCGTTTTTCTGCATGTCGAAAATTATGTCAAAATAAACTATTAAGAGAATAATTAAAAAACTGCAATCACAGACACAAGGTATCCAAATATATAAAGCCATCCCATGGTCCAATTTTAAAGAGACATACAAATCCACACACACACACACACACACACACACACACACACACACACACACACACACACACACACACACACAGAACAAAGGATCTGATCAGGAAATTAACAGAAGAAATGAAAATAACCAATGAGCATGAAAAGCTGTTCAATCTCACTAGCAATTAGGGAAAAGCAAATAAATACCATCATGAGATGCTATCTTTCATGCATTAGGTTAAAAGCATTTTTATAAAAGCCAGGTGGTATGAAGTTCTGGCAAGGGTGGAAGATAAACTGGTATAGCCATTCCAGAGTTCAAAGAGGCAGCATCAAAATTTACAGTATACATTCCCCATATCCCATCAATTACACTTCCCAGCATCTACCTTAGAGAAACTCATAAATAAACACAGGGATTTATACAAGGAAGCACACAAAATGATGTTCATGTTAATAATGTTAAAAACTAGAAAAAACTCAATTTTCCATCAACAGGAAAGCAGCTAAATAAAAGACGGTTACGTCCATACGGTGAAATAACATGCAGTAATAAGGCAGAATTATATATACTGTCATGCAAAGGGCTACAAAATTTAGAAAGCAATCATGCAAACTTGCATACAGGTATGATATGTATAATACATTAATGCTGTGATGCCATTTGTGTGTTTCAAAAGCACAGTCACAAAACAATACCACACAGAGTTCTGCTACAATGCTTGTTTCGAAAACATTAATTTGTTCCAGTACAATTACTGTATTAGGAAACAATATGAGCGTAACACAAATTTCATGCGTGCTTACATGTGACTGCATATGTGAAAGACAACAGGTGAATGCAGGATGCAGGAAACTAGACCCAGCTGAACCAAGCGCTTAGCAATACACCGAACACACCCACAGATACAAACCTCAAAATCTATCAAAAAAATAAATAAACAAAATAATCAAACCAAACCTATGGTCATTGAGTCAAGTCCAATTCCGACTCACAGCGACCCTATAGGACAGAGTAGAACTGCCCCGTAAGGTTTCAAGGAGCGGATGGTGGATTCAAACTGCCAACCTTTTGGTTAGCAGCCACAGCTCTTAACCTCAATTCGTCTGTTATCAGCCACATCCACCTACATCTGGTGTTAAACTCCTTCGTCTGATTTCAAATAACTGTCCTTCTACCACTTCACAGTAACTCACAAGCTGCAACCCTTCCAAAGGTTACTTCCACAAGCAAGCATCGGGCTTCTTCTAGGCAAAGCGCCATATTTACTGTAGTATTTATGTATTTCTTAATGTTTTAACATGTATAAAACTGTGCTACCACTTTTATTAGGTTCCTACCTTTCTACTTTTTTAATGTTACTGCCAGTTTTGGAGTATGAAGCCTATGACCCTACTTTCTGTCTTAGGCCCTACAGTTTTTATTGTGTGATTTTACACAGCACGGTGATTTTCAGAAACACATACACCATAAAGCCATAATCGACTGTATTTTGCTAAGTACATACACACACAAATAAAATTTCCTTTAAAATTTTTAGCTCCATAGCTAATTCAAGTGAGATATCAAAGAAACCACAGAAAACACTGTAACGCAGAATAGTGTACTGCAAAGAGAACTACACCAACACTCAGCAGGCCTAGTCTTTGCTTTGCCATCAACCGTCTAGTAAACTTGGACCCGTGATTTGACCTTGCTGAGCCTCAGTTTCTCCCTCTTAAAACTGAAATAATGTTCTCCACTAACCAAAGATGGCTCTGCTGTTAAATGACATAACTGGCTTTCAAAGCACTGTGGAAAATATGCATGCCATTTAAATGAAATGTTACAGTATTACTGTCAAAAGATAAAGTAATAATTAAAAAAATAAAAAGGAATAGGTGAAGTCCCCAAGCTTTTTAAATCGACGTCTAAAATATACATAGTGTTATTATTCACCTCGTGGTATGTGTCCTCGAGCTCTCCATCATATATCCAACGGTAAAGAAAGCTCAGAACAGGATGAGACACCAAGCTGAGAATATTCTGCACTAGAGATCTCACATATGGATCCCCTGTTTTTGTGTAGGCATGGACAGCTGATGCCAGCTCACCACCTTTCCTTCCTGGGGGAAGGGAAAAATAGAAGAAAATTACACACATTTAAACTCACAATATAAACCATTAACTTAACACTGATCAGAGAGCAGAAGGCACTCAAAGTCTGTCCGTTTTAACAGTTAATACCACTTTTCGGACATAGAAGCAGCAGTAAATACGTAAGAGATTTGGACTGAAGAGATTCAGATTCTAACCTTGGTTTAGCAAGAATGTGAGCAAGTCACTCATCTGTTCATTTCTGCTACGAAGCTTATTCAGTAGCAAAAATCTGACTCACTGTATGATCTTGAATTACCACGACTTTTCACCGTTTTTGACTGAGACACGTTAACATTCATATGTTATAAAGCAATCCAGCACACACATACACACACACAAAAAAACCATTATTAGGTGACGGGGCCAAGATGGCAGAATAGGCAGAAGCTTCCTGTGGTCCCTCTTACAACCAAGACCTGAAAGGGTTAACCACACCCAACCATTCTCTCGACTTTAAAAAATCACCAAGGCCCCTAAACCAGGAACTCAGGGCAGGCACTGCCTCTTTGCCTAGGCACTGGTATAAGGGGTCCACAGACTCTGAATGCCTTTTATCCCTGCCTAGACCTGTGCGGGCCCATTCAACAGCACAGGCCCTCATTAGCATACTACAGCAGGGAATATAACGGAAGCTGATTCTCACTGCAACAGCTAAGGTGGAATGGCAGATCCGAGACATTTGACACCACCCTGCCCATTAAGCAGGGTCCTCACCTAACCACATCAGGGGTCTAAGGATTGCGGCTTCACCCACTACAACTAGCCATCCACAATAGGGGTCTGAGAATAAGTGATGCCTCCCAGTCCTTTCTGCCAACAGCATTAGATGCGCGAAGTCCAGCTCCGACGTCCACCTAGGCACTTTAGGGGACAGGGATACACTCTCCACCCAGGCACTCAGGGACAGCCATTGGCCCCCTGCCTTGCTCAGCACATAACCCCCTACAGCAGGCAGATACCTGTGCCTTCTCCAATCAGCCACGTAGTCGTGTTCATCTAGGATGGCAGGTGAGAGCCTGCACCACACACTTGGTGACCGACAACCTAGATACCTGAGTGAATCCATACAAGCAAAGTAAACAGAAGCCTGGGCTCATATACCTAGTAGAAGCTCCAACTATCTGGGAACAGGACATGAGAGCTTCTAAGACCCCTTTAATCAAAGTAGCTCACATATCCAGTCCATTTGGGCATATGAAAACAAAACAAGAAGCTAGGACACAGTAAGCAAACATACAATAAATAAAGATAATAACTTATCAGTGGCTCAGAGATAAGAGTCAACGTGAAATCACATAAACAGGCAGACCATGATGGCTCCAGCAAGCAACCAAAACAAAGAACCAGGAAACCTCCCTGAGGAACAGAAGGTCTTGGAATTACCAGAAGTAGAATTCAAAAGATTCGTACACAGAACTCCTAAAAATATAAGGAAGGAGATCAGGCAAAATGCAGAACAAGAAACACACAGACAAAGCAGCTGAAGAATTTAGGAAGGTTCTACAAAAGCAAAATGACAAATTTAACAAGCTGCTAGAATCCATAGAGACAGCAAGTAGAAATCCAAAAGATTAACAATAAAATTTCAGAATTAGACAACTCAATAGAAAGTAACTGGAGCAGAACTGAGACAATGGAAGTCACAATTAGTGAGACTGAAGATAAAGCACATGACATCAACTTATTTGAGGAAAAATCAGATAAAAGAATTTTTAAAAATGATGAAACCCTAAGAATTATGGCGGAATCTATCAAGAGGGATAAACTACAAGTGATTGGAGTACCAGAGCAAGAGGGGATAACACAAAATACAGAGAGAATTGGTGAAGATTTGTTGGCAGAAACTTCTCTGATATTATGAAAGACGAGAAGGTATCTATCCAAGAAGCTCACTGAACATCACACAGGGTAGATCTCAAAAGAAAGTCACCAAGACATAATCAAACTTGCCAAAATCAAAGCTAAAGAGAGAATTTTAAGAGCAGCTAGGGAAAAACAAAAAGTAACCTACAAAGTACAGTCAAGGAGACTAAGCTCGGACTACTCAGCAGAAACCATGCAGGCAAAAAGGCAATGTGATGACATATATAAAGCCTTGAAGAAAAACAATTGCCAGCCAAGAATTATATGTCCAGCAAAACTGTGTCTCAAATATGATGGCAAAATTAGGGTATATCCAGATAAAGAGAAGTTTAGGGGATCTGTAAAAACCAAATCAAAATTACAAGAAATACTAAAGGGAGTCATGAACCCCAGATGCTATGTTAACCCAGAACTAAAACCATTCCCGAAGACCACTCCTCAGACAAAGATTAGACTGGACTTTAAAACACAAAATAATACTCGGAAAGAGTACGCTTGTTAGTTCAAGCAGATACATGAGACTAAATGGGCAGCTCCTGTCCAGAGGCAGGATGAGAAGGCAGAGAGGGTCAGGAGCTGGTTGGATGGACACGGGAAACCCGGGGTGGAAAGAAGGAGTGTGCTGTCACATTGTAGGGACTGCAGCAAGTGCCACCTGACAAGGTGTATAAAAATTCTGAGAGATTAACCTGAGCTGTAAAGCTTCACCTGAAGTACAATTAAAAAAAAAAAAAACCTTTATGAAACAGTAGCCATATTTTAATATTTCCTATTTTATTCTACTTTTCTTGGTATAATATGCTGGTCTCCGTTCACTAAAATGATCTCATAACCCACTAATGGGTCACAAACTAGTGTGAAAAACACCGCTCTAAGTGAGTAGCGGTCCTCTATGTTCTGGGAGGAAAGCTCAGTACGAAACACGGGGAGTGGCAAAAATTAAGTAGAAAGACGTAAGCACATCAAGACTTTCTTACATGATGCTGAGAATTCACCATTTAACTACTAAATTTTCAGCAAAGGATTGACATGATCTAATTTTAGTAAGATTCTTCTGGCATGTGTGCAAAAAACGAAGGTGGGTAAGACTGAAAACAGAGAAATCAATTGAGGATTATTAAAACAGTACATAAGGGGAAGATATAAAAAGGGTATGGACTAAAAGTTTTGGAGGGGGAGGCAGAGATCTGAGACGTGAAGGAGTTGGAAATAATAGCGTTATAGTGGCTAACTGGATATCCACAGAGATGCGGGACTGAGAGAAAGATAAAAGAGTCTGGTAGGAATACAATCATGGGAGAGGGCCAGTAACTGGAGAAAAGGCAAATGTTTACTGTTTGACTTTTATTTTTTGAAGGGGAGTTCCAGAGCTGAGAGGAGGCAAGGCATGGATGGGATGACGCTGAACTTGGTTTTAGATGTGAGGAATGTCAAGTCCATGTGAATCATCCAGCAGAGATGATGGCAGTGAATACTTACTGAGCTCTCACTATGTATCAGACTATTTGCTTTTTCTGTCTCATTCAGTCCTCACAATAATCCTACGAGGCAACTATCACTAGTATCCCAGCGTTATAGTTAAGAAAAAAAGAGAAAGAGGTTCCTGGCCGACATAACACGAACAGTGAGAAAAAAAACGTTCAGAAGGCAACTAGAAATACAGACGTATCCCAGCGTTATAGTTGAGAAAAAAAGAGAAAGAGGTTCCTGGCCGACATAACACGAACAGGGAGAAAAAAAATGTTCAGAAGGCAACTAGAAATACAGACCTAGAGCTCAGAAACCTTGTGAGGTAGACTTGCAAAAATGGGAGTTTTTAACAGATGTGTGGTGAACACAGACGTATGACCTTAGGAGGAAGGAAACCCTAGGAAATGCTATTAAGAGGCAAATAATAGAGGAATATAGGTTTAAAATAAAAGTTATAGCACAAAGGATCATAAAAGAGAAAAATCTTTAAAAGCTAAACACTCCTCCTTTCTTCATTTCAATGTAATCTTTAGCTTCTACAAGTATCAACATTGGACCACACTGGCAACTGTTATTTTTCCTGTAAGTTCATATCAATTAATTTGTATTCAATCAAAATACTTGCGGCTGTTAAAAGCACCCCAAAAAGAGGGTACAAAACCAGAAGGAGAGGGCGCTCCCTAAGAACTGTTTTGAAATAAAGCAAATCTATGAGGCACAAGAAATAAAAAATAAACAGTGACCTTGACAGTGATCAACCAGGGCGGCAAGGGTCTTCAGTCTTATCTTAGGGTCGTATGTCCAAACCAGGAGGCGCCGAAGCGTTAAGCTACTCTCAAGTCCCAAATTTACACCCTGATCATCCTCTAACTGTAGCTGAAAAACAATGACATGTTTAAGTACAAATAACTAAATATGTCACATCATGTCTTAATCCATATAAAATGAATATGGGGAAGTGATTATTCCTTTGAAAATGAAGCAAAAGGTCCCCTTTGTGAGAATAACAGTTCTTTCAAGCTACATGTGATCTGTTTAAATAATAGAAAGAACCTTGAAAACTAGCCATTAATTAGCCCCAGGGTACACTGAAACTTTACAGATATACATACCTTACAAACAATATTAGCAAATAGATTTTATACTTTAAAAGTAATGTATGAAGAAATTTGAAATATTCTATATAATTTTTATAATACTAGAAACCATGAATAAATTAAAATAAAAACAAAATATTTACCTGGGAATGTAAAACTGAGAGTAAGCGGTAGTATTCCTTGAGTTCTTGGTGCAAGGCCACACAAAAGCTCTGTCCAGAAAGGATAAATATATTTAAACTACAATACACTCATTACACATCAACTCATTTTAAGTGTAAAGGCAAACTACTTTTAGATGAAGTTCAGATTGAGTTTAGCATGATTAAAATTCTGATTTTCTCAACGGTCCCCTCCTCTAACAGTTTTAATCACAGTATATATTTAATAACGTTAAGAAAGTGTTGTCCCTTAGTATAAAAAGCATAAACTTTGCAAGAAAGGAATGAAGAAAATATAGTATGTTTTTCATAAAGCTAAAAGTGTACATACTTTAGAGAAGTATTTTTTAAGATTATCTCCCTTCTAATTTTTTTGAAGTTGAAATGTAATTTTATTTAATGTTTTTAGTTGGCAAAATTTAAAAACTGGCAACTCTACATCAATTCCTCCATCCAGGGTTTCTGTTTGTCTGTACCCCCCTTTTCCCCATCCATGTTATTAAAAACATCTTTGTACGTCTTAATAATTTTCAATCTTAACTACAGAAAAGGTATTGAAATAAAATGACAGTATCAGAAGCTACAAGATGTACCTTTACAGAACAGAAACACTCCTGTGATTAAAAAAAAAAAACTTCTAGTATAACTTTAGGAAATAAAAAAATTCTCAGTGGAAATCTTTTTGTTTCTGAGATAGCCTACAATAGATATGGCCTGCAAAGGCTAAAACTTGTTATCTTTAAATAACTGTGCAAGGTCCATTAATTTTCTTTATATCTTAAATCAATCTATTAATCAGTCATCTATAGGGTTAATTTTACCATATTTGTTTTCTTGATCGAGACACATATATATGTATTTATCCTTACTAGCTATAAAAATGAACATAAAGCACACTAAATTTGCAGACTCAGAGGAACACTTTAAAAATGGGATTTGCAATGTACCGTCCTGGGTTTTGGAACCAGACAGCCCTTGGTATGCAATCTGTGCTCCTACTAGACATATCACTTTGGGTAAGTCACTCAGTATCTGTGAGCTTTTGTTTCCTCCTTTAAATAATGAGGACAAGAGCAGTGAGGAATAAATGACATAACGTAAGGGAAGAATCTGACACAGAGCTGGCACGGGAGGTGCTTATTACATTTTAGGTCACTTTTCTTAAGCAATATTCACAGGGAAAACAATGTGGGATATTTTCAGGCATATTACTTCTAACAAACATCCCATTCCAGCCTCCAAGGCAGACACACACACACATACACACACACACAAACACATAAAAGTTAAAACAAAAAAAAATATGGTTATTAGAAATAATCTTATCTTCATCTATCATGTAGCATACAAATATAAACAAGTCAGCTTAGGAGTATTCTACCACCCAAATACTGCAATTACAGTGTGTGTTTCAGTACCTTATGTGAGCAAGACGAAAGGTTTTCAGTTAGCTGAGGCTGTTTCCACCTTGGTTTAGTAAAAAGCACATACAAGTTTCAGACTTAGGAAACAGTTATCTCCCTTTGCAAATGAGATTTGTGCCATCTGGTATGTCTAGAGCCGGGACACTTCTGAGCGTGAAAGTGGATGCTACGAATAATTGTCCTGGGGCAAGAGGCATAAATCAGGACTCTCCCAGGCTAACTAGGACATAGGATCCCTCCAACTACAGCATTCATGGCATCTCTGAATAAGCTAAATAATTTCTTCTTTAGTAATTAAATATGACTTAAAAGAAAAAAAACGTTGCTACTGAGTCGACTGTGACTCATGGTAACCCCATGTGTGTCAGAGTAGAACTGTGCTCCATAGGTTTCCAATGGCTGGTTTTTCAGAAGCAGATCACCAGACCTTTTTTTCAAGATACATCTGGCTAGACTTGAACCCTCTTAAAAACTATTTTCTCAGTAAGAGTTTAAGTAGATTACATGTTTCCCAAAGTGAACTGTCTCCCAACTGTGAACATACCTGACCTACAAGTCCAAACGAGCGGTCTAAACTCCTCTGGTCAATGTATTTTCTGATTTTATTATGTAACCATCCCAACTCAGCAAGTCTGATTGTCATATCTCTCAAAGATTTGTTCAGGTTTGCCTAAAAAGTAAATATATCCAGAGTCAAAAATTAAACATAAACACTAGAATTTTAATTATTTTTCATAGCCCATTGCACTTTTAATACTATAATTCTTACTTCAATATGCGAAAGTTAAAACTAATGTGTATCATCATTAACAGTGAAACCAATGAGAAGGGAAAAAAGAAAACGTCAGCTGACAGGCAAGGATTTAGAACAGTCTGCAGTAAACGTTACGACTTCTGCAGAGTCACTCCCTGAAGAGTGACTCACCCAGGACCTACAGTTGTCTCTCATCACGGCGCAGTCTGTGACCTTTAATCTGTGAAACAAGCTAAGAGTCATGTAGGACACTACATAAAAATACAAAGGGGCTGTGGCAAGTGCAGTTTCTCCATGTTTGCTTCTGGAAGATGAAAACAAAAACAAGGACATCTTATCTGGAATTCTATATCAATGGCAAAGACATCAAGTTGTAAGGTACCTCTAAGATTACTGTAACAGCGTGCAAAAATAATCTATAAAGGGTAGAGGTATCAGTGAATACAAGGAAAAAATAAATGGAAAAGGGAAGCAAGTATTGATTACAAAAAGTGTTCCAATAACAAAATTACACAAGTCACAAACTGGACAAAGAAATATAAACCAGAATTTAACCGTGCAACTTGACTGGCATCCTCAATTTTGTATATCGAGCGCTCATTATCCTAATAACATCTCACAAACTAACAGCTCTCTGGTCTTAATGATATTTTAAAAAATATTTCAAACTGTACTTTATGTTACTTTACCTTTCCTTCCGCTTTATAACAATTTTCAGTATTGCTCATTTTGATGATTTTGCCATCTATGCCCTGGAAGACATACAAAATGTCTCTGACTAGGGCTGCTTCAGTAATTTCCACAGTGCCTACATAATGATTTTAAAAAGAGAATAATTACTAAACAATACAGTTTGAGATGAAATAAATTTTATGAAACCATTAGCTTGAGATTACATCATAAGAAACCACTAAAAGGTTTTAATGGAGCCCTGGTAGACTAGCGGTTAAGAGCTGGGATGCTAACCAAGAAGGTCGGCAGTTCGAATCTACCAGCTGCTCCCTGGGAACCCTATGGGCAAGTTCTACTCTGTCCTATAGGGCTGCTGTGAGTTGGAATTGACTCAACAGCAATGGGTTCAAAAGGTTTTAAGTGGGGATTCCTTGATCAGTACTTTAAAACAAAGGAAGCATGAATTCTAAATGTTCAAAGAAAAGCTATGTTAAAATATACCCTTACTCACCACTCGTGTCCCCTTCTCTCCTGGACCTTGTCATGTTGCGAGCAACAGCGTTTGGAATACCTTTTGAGGTAGTGGTTTGTAAAGAAGGCTGGTTTGCAGTTAAAGTCCATGCAAGACGTGACCCCAGCTGCTGTCGAAGGCAATCTCCTACTCCTGGAGCTTGATGCGACTGTCTAATAGAATGAAATAACATTTTACATCTTCAAATAACCATGTTCTTCACTGAAAAGACAATAAGAGCGTCGAGAAATTTTTCTTTATATTACTATGCTGAATTACATAAATTTATAAATCTGAAATAGATGACACAATACTTTACCCTAACCTAATAATTTATAAAAACAATCAGTTTTAAGTCCCTTAAAATCTTCCAGCCTCTGTGAAATCCTTAGCCTAACATTCAAACTGAACATTTTAGTCTCCTGTATTAAGTGCTAAGTTGGATTCATTCAGCTAAGACGCTGGGCACAAGAGTGCTGAAAATCATCTTACTGCTACCCCTATGGATATTTCTTACCATAAAAATCAAGGTCTATTTGACTTGTTGTTACAATTACCTAACATGCATTACCCACCTACAACCACTTTGAAACACACTACTAGTTCTAACTTCAAAATTAACACCTATCATTCACTCAGCATTTATTAGGCAGAAACCAAACCAAACCCATTGCTGTCGAGTCAATTCCAACTCCTAGCGACCCTACAGGACAGAGCAGAACTGCCCCACAGGGTTTCCAAGGAGTGGCTAGTGGATTCAAACTGCTGACCTTTGGTTAGCAGCCAAGCTCTTAACCACTGCACCACCAGTGCTCCTGACAGAGCACAGGAGTTAAAACAAACTCTGTAAGACTACTCCTCTTCCCTATCCTCAACTGTCAGTATGAAAAGAAATACCGTAACTTTCAAATGATTTTTTAAAATGTACAAACACATAAAGCATAAGTCAAAAGCACATCCCACATCAAGACAGCCTATTTCTAGTAATTCTGAGAATATGTTAAAGATGCTTTTTGAAAATCTAAGAACCTGACAGCTATAAGCATTTCTAATATGCTTTGACAACTGTAACAAAAATATCACTTCCTATGACTATAAAATATAAAAACAAGAATCTCAATTGCACCTATTGTTTCCAAATGGAAGAGCTCTGATTTACAACTTGAGTAAAATCGGTGGGTCCATCTATAATCTGGTGGTGAAGTAAAAGAGGAGATGAGAAAAAAACTGAAACAGCCTCTTTTTTTTTTCCCCTCCTATTTTTTAATGGGGAAAAAAAAGTCCACAAAAACATTTACTAAAGCTACGCCTTTAAATATAGTTCTAAATTTAAGGGAATGATCCTAAAAGACCATTTCATTTCAAAGTTTTCTATACCGCTTTTTTTTTAATCATTACAAAAATTAATTCACTCAAATCCTAAACTGTAAATAAGAAAGTCAGTTTACTCTTTTAGCCAGAACACGAGTCTTAGATTAAATTTATACAGCACCATTTTCAAAGGCCTCATGTTGTCTTTATGGAACCCCAGATCTCTTTTATAACTAATGTGTGTCGTATACACATTCTATTTTCAAATATCTTGAACATGATTTGATTAAATCAGCAGATGATTTATAACTACATTATGTTCACATGGCAAACATCATTTATCTGATTCTCAATCTTTGGCCACTATTCTTTGGGAAAAATATTCACTTTATGATAATCCAATTTAATGTGATTTCCAGGAATGTACTACAGCAAAAAGCAGAGCCACCTGTATATCTACACATAGAAATGGAAATTAAAAAAAACAAATTTCTAAAGGTCTTAATAATTACTGTGGCACTTGCTTTATTTTCAACCATAAATTCTGTATTTCCTCAGAAGATAATCAGATGTCACAGCATGTTAAACTACAAAAGATGGAACAACCTAGCTGTGCATTCTCATAATTGATTATCTTAATTCACATGCACTAAGATGCCGTATTTCTTAGTTTGAAGATCTCGGTCCTTCAGGATACGACAGCTTGCAATCACAATCCGTTGCTGTTGAGTAGATTCCAACTCACAGTGACCTACAGGACAGAGTAGAACTGCCCCATAGGGTTTCCAAGGAGCAGCTGATGGATTTGAACTGCCGACTTTTTGGTTAGCAGCCAAGCTCTTAACCACTGCACCACCAGGGTTCCAAGACAGCTTTACTTGGTAAATATTTTTTTAATTTTTAATGAGAAAAACATACATCAATAAAGAGAACAATATTCATTGAGAATAATATAATAAGAGAAATGTGAATCAGTTACCCTCAAATAAAAGGTGTGAACAGTAAGTACACTTATGAACCAGGTCCTTTATTAATGTGCATTTTCATTAATAGGTTAAGAGTTAGCAAAAAATCTTTACAATTAGCTATGATTAAAAAACTGAAAAAAATTCCATTTATAAGATAGTGTTAAGAAACATTAAAATCCTAAGATAAATCATACCTGACCTGGCACCTAGAACACCACCTGGCACACACGCGGAACTAAAGATGCTTTGAATGAACACAAAATGCCTGATTAAAAGTCTGAGGATTTTTTTGTTTCTACTACTTAATAATCTACTCATTTAAGCTTGAATTTACCCAGGAAGGAGAGACTGTGGTGTTGGTGTTGGGCCATTTAGGGCATACATGCTTATACTGCTGATTCCACTGCTTCCCATACTGCCAGAGTTCTGTGCTGACTGGGTGCTCCGATCCTGGTAATTCAAGGGGAGAGTCTGAGGCCTGGCATAGTAGTACGGAGTTGAATGAGCATCTCTTGGTAATGCCTGAGCAAATAAAGTGGCATAGCTAGAAACCTTAAAACAAAATACAGATGCATTAGGAATATGGAGATATGAAATTATAGAACACCTTTCCCAAATCATCAAAGATAATCATCAGATTTTCTTTCAATTTCTGTAATTGGATTTTGCCTTCACGGAACAATAAATTAGTTATTATACTTTTAAAATATGTCAAAACTGATAAAGTTTTAGAAAATTTTCTGAATTCCAACTCTCACATTGTCCAATAACTAAATACTTTAACTACTGATTTAGAATCCTATCAAACCAAAAACTCAAATAGTTGTTAAAAAGTTTGGCATTATGATAAAACAAGCAGATGCTCATTACTCAGACTAAGCTTTAGAGAGGAGTATGACTTTTCCACCCACACTCTTCAACTTTCTCCACAGAGTAGCTTATTATACTAGACTCTACAAGACATGGAGCAGCCAAAATAGCTCTTTCGAACCCTGCATGGGACACAAATTAATCCTGTGTGGCAACACGAAGGTTTCGTTGGCCTAACAGTAACTGATGTTCGCAGTGTTAACTGAAAGCACAGGAAAAACCTGAAGGGCCTTCTAATTCACACAATTATCTATCTGTGCTGGTATTAGTAACTTTACAAAGTAAAAATTTTGAGAACTGATAATGTATGCTCTATTTTATTGCACATTATTATATCTGGAGTAATAACATAATTCTGAAAAGCATCTGCCCACTGAGTAAAAACGGCCTAAAAAAGACATCTCTTGACCTTTCATGATTGTCCAGAAAACTAGATAAGCTTTTTGGTTTCCTCATATTATTTTCTTAACTACAGAACATGATTCTTATCAACATTTGGTACGATCCTCCCAACAAAAGACGGTGAAGTCTCTTTTTAAAAGACATTAAGCTGCTAAAATACAACCATTTACCTTGTTCGGCTGCTTACGTGGATCTTCACTAAGGCTTAGCAGGAGGTAGAGTATTGACCATTTATTTTTCAACACTCCCTGTTTAGAAAGAAAATTAATATTAAAAGAAGAATTCTGTACTACTCTCCAGTTTTATCTTCCTTTCTCCTAAATTATACTTATTCCAAAATAAAAACGCATTTTAAAATTCACATGGGAAAATCAAATCTAAATCTGTTCATTTTTCAGACATCACAAATAGTACCATCCATCAGAAGGCAAGAGATAATGGTCTCAAAAGATTTATGTCCTTGGATCCTTTAACCCTGTAAACTACTCCAAAGTCCCTTATAAGAAGAATTTTTTAATTACCATATTCCTGAATAACAGTATTCCCTCTTCCTAAATAATTTTTATAATAACCAACTTTCAAGCATACTGATTATGAGAAAACTGCCATCATAAAATACGTGATTTTTCTTTTTTCCTCCTTTATCAATGTCTCATTTAGGCCACAAAATACAGCATTATCAAAAAAGAATTATAATGTGCAAGACGCAAGTCTCAACACCATTTGTTCCTAAACTCAAGATTTGGTTTTGAAGCACTTAGTTGTCAGGATAAATAACCCTTAGGCTTCTATGTAAAGTTTATCACATAGAGTTCATAAATTTCCAACTATGAATCACCCCAAACTGATTTTACAAACGTAACAGCAGCTGACCCTCGATATGTTTTATCTTGAATTTATACAGTACTCTAGTCTACTCATGTAGCCTTACTTTTTGGGTGTATGGGCTAGAATTTATAAATACCCACAAATGGTTACTTACAGCACATGAATGCTTCACTGTATAAAACATTCACTGGAAGCTTCTGCAGAGAGGGAGCTCATCCTAGGCATTTGAATTATGGTCTGACTCTAAAAATGGGTTTACACAAACTTTAGAAAATTCAATTCAACAAACTCCCCATCTGGAGCAACAAAGATAAAAAAGAGGGCCAGTTCCAAAGGAGTCCTCAGTTTGGTGGTAAACAGACAAAGGGACATACAAATGCAGAAAAGAATTTCATGATAGAATAAAACATATTTTAAAACAAAGGAAGATCACCTAACCCAGGCTCAGGTGGTCATGAAAAGATTCCCAGAGGAGATGTGTATCCTTAGAAAGATGAGGTGATAAAACAGGGAAGGTGGGTGAACAAGAACAGCCTTTCCAATACATAGATTTGGCTAAAGCCAAGAATGAGAATGAAATGTAAAAATGGAACGAAAGGTCGTATCAAAGGGGCCTTGAATGCTGTACCGAGAAACTTGGATTTTAAGCTGAAGACAACAGTAAGCCTTTGAGGGATTCTACGTAGGTGGGTGCCATGATCAAATTGTCCCTTTAGAAAAATCACACTCACAGTTTTATGAACAACATACTTCTTGTTGTAGAGGGAGAGAAAACTCAACAAGGGGAGATTAAGAAGATTACAGTAATCTGAAAGGCAAATTATGAGGATCTAAACTTAGAAGACTGTATAAAGAAAAGAAAAATTACAACTATAATTTAGTGAACCTGGCATGCTACTAAGAGTTTTACAGCTGCTGAATCATATAACCTTTACAATCTCTGTAAGATACTATTCCCATCTAACAGACACTCTAAAGGGTTAAGTGACTCACTCAGGACACAGAGCTAAGGAGTCAGACATAGATATCTGTCTCCAAAGAGCTCACTCTTTTTATTCATCACCTCCTTTTAGGCCAGGCCAGGTAATCAGTTAATAATAGCAGTTGTCATTTAATGATTCTTACATGGGCCAAGCACTTCAGATACACGATCTCCTGCAGTCACCACAGTAATCCTATGGCACAGGATTTACTCTCTTCATTCCATAAATAGGAGAAACAAAAGTGATGAAACCTAAATAACTTACCTAAATCACAAAGCCATATGCTAGGGTTCACACCAGAGTGAGGCAGACACTAACGGGACAGAGGAGAGACACACATAAGACGTACACTCAGTAAGAACCGAGGACGCGCGTAAGAGGTACACTCAGT